CATTAGTATTACTATAGTATTAGTAGTAAAAAGTACCGCTATGCACTATTAATATTAATAGTATTATTGATTTGGTATGAGTTTCTGGGCGATCACTATCGCTCCCATTGGTCAGTCTAACCTTTTTGTCACAGATTGGCAACATTATTTTTTGTTTATTTTTACTTCGGGCTTTCTGCGGATGGGGAAATTACGAATCGCGCAAAATTGGGGTATTTGTAGCACATGCAAACTGTATTACCAAAATACGTCAGAAATTACTACGTACTCAAGTACTAGTACTGTATAAATGTGGTATATCTGACGTGCTTGTACGTTCTGGAACTCAGATTCACCAAAACTTGCCTTTGCCGGAGTAGAAGATTGTGCATTCGCATGTCTTTACTTTTTGATGTTTTTTTGTCAACAATCGGCAATAGAAATCTACTGTAGCCCACACAAAGGCAGAATTACATTCCTACAGTAATGCAATATTATTGGTAGCAGTACAGGTGTAGTACAGTATCCCAATGGTGTACTATTAATAGTATTCAGTACCAGTAGTCTATTCAATCAATACATTCATACAGCACATGTTCTTCGAAGAATTAACAGTAAATTGTCATTGACAACTTGGTCTTACAGTGACCTTGCCATTGAACATCTGGGTGTGATTATGGCAACGGTACTCCGATGACCTGAGCAGGTCCCAAACATGTAAATTCGAAATACTGCTGTATACCCATTCATCCACCGACAATCAAGTTCAGCCACAAAGACCATTGGCATCAAGTTTCTGCATTGCCATAATTCATTTAGCCATCCCCAGCAAACTGCAACAAGCATGACCATGATCACCAAATCAGCGTTGGCCGCCCTTGTGGTGGCTATGACTTCGTCCGTGGAAGCCGCCAAGCTCAAGAACGTGGTGTACTACATGGAGTGGGCCATCTACGGGCGCAAGTTTGGCATCTTCGATTTGGATTGGGACAAGATCACCCACATCAACTACGCGTTCGGCAAGCCCAGCCCTGACGGTACGGTGGGGATCATCGACGCGCATGCCTCAGTGAAAAAACGATTCTCGAGACGTGGCGACTCGTGGAACGACCAAGGCAACAACTTGTACGGCAACTTTGGTCAAGGGTTCAAGCAAAAGCAAAAGGCTCGCGGCACCAAGTTCGGTCTGTCCATTGGCGGGTGGACGTTGAGCGACCAGTTCAGCTCCATCGCGAGCACGGAAACAGGCCGCCGCACGTTTGCCAAGAGCTCGGTGAAGCTCATGCTGGACCTGGGGTTGGACTTTCTCGACATTGACTGGGAGTACCCCGTGGAAGGCGGCAACGACTCGCCCCCGGTCCCCCATCGCCCCGACGACATCAAGAACTACGTGTTGCTGCTGAGCGCGATCCGCGACGAGTTCAAGACGCTGCCGTGGAAGGCCGAGTTGAGCGTGGCGTCCCCCGCCGGCCCGGACAACTACCGCCACTGGGACTTTACCGCCATCTGCGGCCAATTGGACTTTATCAACATCATGACGTACGACTTGGCGGGCAGCTGGAGCAAATACACGGACCACCAAGCCAACTTGTACGAAGACCCGAACCACCCCCCGGGCGCCAAGTACAGCACCCACAACGCCGTGCAAGACTACATCAAGGGAGGGTGCCCTTCGGACAAGATCGTGCTGGGGATTCCTGCGTACGGCCGTTCGTTCGAAGGCTCGAACGGACTCTACTCCAACTTCACCAAGCCGACCAAGGGATCTTGGGTGGCTGGCAACGACGGCAAAGGCGTGTGGGACTACAAGGTGCTCCCCCTTCCTGGCGCGACGGAGATCTACGACGAAAAGTTGGGCGCCACGTACAGCTACGACCCCACGTCCAAAATCTTTACGTCGTACGAAGGGCCCAAGAGTTTGGCCCAGAAGCTCGACTACATCAAGAAGTACAACTTGGGCGGCACCATGTTCTGGTCGGGGGATGCCGACGCCAAGTCCGGCTCCCCCCGGTCGTTGATCACGCAAGTGTACAACACGTTCGGCCGAGCCAACATGGCGTTTGAGAACAATAACTTGAACTACCCCACGTCCCAGTATGCTAACATCCGCGCCGGCGCCGTGACGACTGTCGACTCCGTGAACTCGACAGCATCCGTCACGTCTTCCCCCGTCGCCCCTGTGACGTCAACTGCTCCAGGCGCCGTGACGACTGTCGACTCCGTGAACTCGACAGCTTCCGTCACGTCTTCCCCCGCCGCCCCTGTGACGTCAAATACTCCAGAAATCTCGGCTGGCGCTGGCGACCAGTGCAAGGGCAACAAGAACGTGTGCTACTGGCCGTTGACGAGCCAAACCGTGCCCTTCTCGCAGGCCCGCTGCAAGTTGTATGTGTCGCTCATCTGGTGCCCTTAAGCGCATTCGTTGTATTTCGAGTCTTTAGCTGCAATCAGCACCGCCTCGACCACTGTGTATGTTAGTCGAATAACCTTGAATTGAACACAGTGGGTTGTGAATCAATCGATTCCATGTGAGTTGTGAAGTTGAGCTTTAGTTTGGAACACGCTCAATCAAGTCAGTGACTTGTGCTGGCTCTAAGGATATGTTGCACTCGGCCTGAAAATCTCTCTTGATTGTAAGTTTGAGGTCCCCACGAAATTTAATGGAGGTTGTCGAAATATATCGATCGGTAAGCTAAGCAAATATAGTGAAAAAAGCTTAAAATAACCAAAAGGTGCAGTACGTACTACTAGTGATACTACGCCTGGGCTGCCAATCGAGTCGACGAAGCAAAATCGACGGACCGAAGTAGCCAATCAAATAAACCATTACCAAACAAAATTATAGGCGTTTGCCAAGCTTCTCCATTTCACTAAGTGTTCAACATTGTCTGATTATTGGGTAGTTACGAAACTCGCACGAAATCCTCTACAATATAATATGTTCAGTACTGTTAGAGTTCATACTTGGACTCTCTTGAGTGCACGATTCAAGGTACACGATGAGGGATAGGTATGCATTCTTCACGACGTCACACCAACTCATCATGACATATCAGTGTTCGTTGTCAGATTAAGCATTGGCCACGGTACTGCCGACGAATCGGCACCAGTGGTGCGCTGCCAACCCAACCACGACCAGCGGCACGCTCAAGGATGTATGGCGTCAAACCGTTACGTGGATACACTATATCTGTGCTAACATGATCGACTGTTGTGATCAATTATGCAAACAAACAATGAGTAGGATCACATCATTGATGTTGTAGTATGCTGCACTATGAAGCTTGAAAGTGAAGATGTTTGACTCATTTGTAGACGTATCTCAGGTGTGACATATTGCCATCGATTTGTCTGTCCCAACTTACACTTTTCCGTGCCACAATTGCATCGACATGAAGGGGAGGACAAGTGAGCACGCCACAATCATCATTCATGCATTGAATACATTTGATTACTGTTTCTTTCGAATTAGATCGTAAAATGTAATGTAACTTGTCTCGTCGATGTGCTTGTTGTCGAGCTCATGAGATGACTGAGGCCCATACACATGATGGCAAAGCTGAAGAAAACATGAAGGAAGGAGTTGAAGCTGAGCTGTCGAAGTCATTTTGGACACCTGAGCAACAGTGGCG